ATCCCTTTCATAAACCCTTCAGCGCCAGCTTTTGCAACTCATAAACCCTATATTCATCCCTTTTTTCAGGGTTTATGAAAGGGTTTATTAAGGCGTTATAAACCCTTCAAAAAGGGTTCGTGACACGTTGCACTTTCATAAACCCTTTTTTCGCTTTTTATTCTACGGATATTTTTTACAGTGTAATCAGCATTTCTATAGAGGAGAATTCTTTTTATTTTTATTGGGACTTCAAATACTTTTGAAATATAATTAACATATCGATAAATCCTTCATGGCCATGATGACATTCGCATGTCATCAACTTGATCCCATGCTTTTTCTACAAGGCTAGTTAACAAGGGACCAAAGATTTGATCATTGATAGGAAAAGAACTTTGGATGCAGTGTACCTTCATATGTCCTTTCGATGCCTATTATTCTAGTTATATTCAGAATGAAATGCTGTGTAACTTGTTATGCACGCATAAAAATAAAAAATAGCTTTCCATACAACTTGTAGATGCAAGCTATTTGCAAATATTACATGAGTACGAGCATTTATCATAATCAACTTCTTTTCATTGAAGCGCTATGAGATAGTCGCATGAATTTACATGACTCTTCTCATTGTAGCATACGTATAATGCGAACAAATCTTATCGTTGTTGCTTACGATGACAGTGACAATGTAGATCTTCTTGTTGCATACAACAATGTCTCTTTTGAAAATCAAATGACGTTTTCAACTGGCCATTTTCCACAGTCTGCAGCTGTTGGTGATTTCAACAACGACACCAGACTGGATATCGTTGTCGCTAATTATGGGGACAACAATGTGAGTGTCCTTCTTGGATATGGTAATGGCTCTTTTCAAAATCAAATGACGTTTTCAACTGGCTCTTTGCCACAGTCTGTAGCTGTTGGTGATTTCAACAACGACACCCAACTGGATATCGTTGTCGCCAATTCTAATGATAACAGTGTGAGTGTACTTCTTGGATACGGTAATGGCTCTTTTCAAAATCAAATAACGTTGTTAACTGGCTCTGGGCCATACTCTGTAGCTG